ATGCGCGCCGTGAAGGTTCTCTGTACATTTTCTAGGTCAGCAATTTCACCTGCCTTGAAAGGTGCTGTTAGTGTGCAGCAATATTCCAGCCTAGATAGAACAAGTGACCTGAAAGAGCGTCATCATGGGCTTGGCAGCCCCCGTTTGAAGGTTCTCATTATCCATCCTATCAATTTTTCTAGCAGATGCGATTGATACAATGTTATGGTCCTTGAAGGTGAGATCCTCCGACATGATCACTCCAGGTCTTTGACGTTGGTGTTTCGCTTATTTTGTGGCCAGAATTTGTTTTGTACTCTGAAGATTTAATTTCCGTGTTTACCATATCTGAGTAATTGAAATTTCTCATCGTTGAACTTCATATTGTTTTCTGCAGCCCACTGAAAGATTTGGTTGATGTCCGCCTGGAGCCTTGCAGTGTCTGCGATGGAAGACAGTCATGCAGATTCGGGTGTCAACTGCAAAGGAACACACGGTGCTGTGGCTGACATCCTTGTCTGTCAGATATGAGGATGAGGAACAAGATGGGAGCGAGTACTGTGCCTTGTGGAACAGAGCTTTTCACCGTGCCTGCCTCGGACTTGACTCTGTTGACTACTACTGTGTTCTGTTAGTGAGGAAATTATAGATCCATCGACCGACTTTTCCTGTTATTCCGTTAGCACGCATTTTGTGCGTATTACGCCATGGTCACACTTGTCGAAGGCTTTTGCAAAGTCTGTATATATTACATCTGCATTCTTTTTGTCTTCTAGTGCATCTAGGACCTTGTCGTAGTGATCCAATAGTTGAGACAGACAGGAGCGACCTGTTCTAAACCCATGTTGCCCTGGGTTGTGTAACTGATGGGTTTCTAGATGGGTGGTAATCTTGCTTCATAGGACTCTTTCAAAGATTTTTATGATATGGGATGTTAGTGCTATCGGTCTGTAGTTCTTTGCTGTTGCTTTACTGCCCCTTTGTTGAGTGGGGCTATGCCTGTTGTTTTTAGTAACTGTGGGACGACCCCCGTGTCCATGCTCCCTCTCCATAGGATGGTAAGGCTCGTGATGGGGGGCTTCTTGCAGTTCTTGATGAACACGGATTTCCCATGAGTCTGGCCTGGGGCAGAGTGCATGGGCATGTCATTTATCGCCTGTTCGAAGTCATTTGGCGTCAGGATAAATCAGATAGGCTTGTGTTAACCAAATTCTGTGGCTCTCTCATAAATTCATTTTGATCTTCGACTCTCAGTCTGGTTAGTGCTTGCTAAAAACTGGGTCATATTGGGACTTGAGTAGCTAAACTCATTTCCTTGCCGTCATCTGTGTAGGACCCATCTTATTTAAGTAAGGGCCAATACTGGACGTTGTGCTCGACTTTGATTTGGCATAGGAGAAGAATACTTTGGGTTTCTTTAGATTTCATTTATGGCTTTTAGTTCTTCCCGCGATTCCTGACTCCTATAAGATTCCTTTAGCTTAAGTTCGATGTTTGCTATTTCTGACCAGTGTCTCCCTACGCATTTCAGATAGATTGACCTCTTTTAGCCGCTCTGTTATTCTTTTCCGTCGCCTGTAAAGAGAGCGCCTGTCTTTCTATTTTACATCTACTCTCCTTTTTCTTAGGAATAAGTCTTGTGCATACATCGAGTGCCACCAAGTTAATCTGTTCTAGGCACAAGTTGGGGTCTGTGTTGCTTAGTATATCTTCCCAGCTTATATCGGTTAGGACTTGGTTTACTTGGTCCCACTTTGTTTTTGTTATTGAAGTTGAATTTGGTGAATGCTCCCTCGTGACTAATCTCATTTTGTCGGTCTGGGGTCCGTGCATACATGTCTGAACCTCAATTATGTTGTGATCTGAGTATATTGTTTTTGATATGGTGACATTTCTTATCAGATCATCATTGTTAGTGAAGTTGGGGTCTAGTGTATTCTCCATTCTAGTAGGCTCTATTATTTACTGGTTTAAATTGAATTTTGTGCAGAGATTTAAAAGCTCGTGTGAGTGAGTTTTCATCAGAGCTGCCTCCTGGTGTTATTACTGCAACATTTGCTATATTCCTCCATTTTAGGTGCCTTAAGTTGAAATCCCCCAGGAGCAAGATGTTGGGTGCAGGAGCTGGTAGATTTTCCAGACAGTGGTCAATTTTTAACAGCTGTTCCTGGAATTGCTGGGATGTTGCATCCGGAGGCTTGTAGACTACCACAATGACTAGGTTTGGTTCTCGACCTTGACTGCTAAAACTTCCACTACATCATTTGAGGCATTAAGCAGTTCTGTGCAAACAAGTGACTGCAATGTACAAGCCAAACCCCCCCCTCCCTTTTGCCTGTTCACTCTGTCACATCTGTAGAGGTTGTAATCTGGGATCCATATTTCGTTGTCCAAGTGATCCTTTATGTAACTATGGCAGTCTTGAAACGTTTGGCATGTGCAAGTGCCCCAAGGCAACGTGACCCCCTTCCCAGAATCTTGAAGTGACTTCACCTTAAAACCCTCTGGCCTAGCTTCAAATTCGACGACAGCGGAGTAATAGTAATGTGGCAAATGTAGTTGACAATCTTGTGTAGTTTATTCCCATTAAATCGCAGTCTTCCTCTCCTGGACGCTCCCGCTTGTCTACATGACATAACTGTAAGAATATTGTTAATGCTAGCTATCAATTTTACATTAAATTGTTGCGTTCATTAATTAAGGTAACGGAACGCTGTCATATAGAACTAGTTATAAAATTAAGAATGAAAGATTTTTTAAGTCATATTGGTTAGAAATTACTCTGGTGGGAAGGTGTCGAGTAACATCTCGGCTCAATGGAGTCTCTGATAAGACCTTAGTTAACACACAGACGTATGCCCTGCATAATAAGGGCTTTCTGTAATGAATGTCAGTAATACTATTTCTGAATAAACTGTACTTTGTAGAAAGTTATTACAGATTTCTACGACGGTGTATATTAGATTAACTCTAACCTACTGTTGCGATCCCCTCATGGGAGGTTCCTTGATGCTGGTGAGGGGCTCTTGATCTAGGGAATTGTATCTGCTTCAATTCCCTGAATGCCTCTACAGGCTCTATATAATTCCTAGTTCAGCGCTTCCCCATGACACTAACTACGCCCGTTTGAGATGGCGTTAAACTTTCCTGTGAGGAATATTTGTAAAAATTATTGGATCTTGTATTAGAATAGGATTAATTAATGCTGTCCTATTTTTCTTCAGCATTGTTTAATATCAAAAATAAAATTTTCGTTGTATACCCTTATGTTAAAGTAATTAAGCATTCGTAGTGGGTACGTGCCAGAAGACACAAAAATGAAATATTGCAATAGGCATATTGACTAGTCTCGTCCCCTCTTGTACCCATTTAACTATTCTTAGTTTCCCAGACAGCTTGGTGCATCTTGAGGCGGTTTATCTGCAACTCGGAACCCTTTGGGAATGGTGATACCTTACATGTGATAGGTGTGGAAAATTTTGGGAAATTTTTTAAAAATTTGCCCCTTGAAATTTTTAAAATTTTAAATTTTGTATTTAAAAAGCGATTTTGACCTTCGGCAATTGTGAAGGAGGGTGGCAGCGGCCCTGGGGGTGATACAAAAGAGGATGGGCCCTAGTGGGAAACTGAATGTGGGGCCTGGGGCCCGTTAAATTTTAATGTAATCGGACATTTTTGAAGTTTAGTTTTTGTATTTCGAAAAAATGGTTTTAATTTGAAATTGGGGTCACGTTCCCACTGGAGGAAATTTTTATAGTGGGGGGGGGGACCCTTAAAATTTGGCTAAAAAAAAAAAAATAGGCGACCCCCAATTTTTCCAGCGGGCACCTTTTTTTTTTATTTCTAAACCCCTTTAAAGTATAGGGAGTTTTTGCATTGGCATCATAAAAATTTAGCAATTGGGTTTGCATTGGGTGTTTTCACTAAATTGGATCCCTTTTAAATTTAAAAGGAAATGATTTAAAACGAATTTTTTTTTTAATTAAAACCCCTTTTTTTGTGTATTGTACTTTAAATTATTAATTTTTTGTACCCAGAAAATAAAAAAATTAGTTCACACAATTTTTTTTTTGTGAGTGGTACAATAGTGGGCACAAGGGGGGGGACGTTCTATGGCTGCTGTGGGCTGTCCCCACTTAAAAATCGCCCCGTTTTCTTGCACTTTAAAAACTGGGTAATTTCCCGTTTAAACCCCGGGCAGGTTAATTTTTTAATAATTAACAATAAGCTCCAAAAATTGGAAGGCCCTTTGCTCTTAAATTTTTACCCAAAAGTACAGCAGAAAACCCTTTGTTTGGGAAATTACCTAGAATTTTACTTTGGGCTATAATCAGTTATCCTGCAAAAAGTTCACGCTAGTTTGGGAAAAGTGCCCTCAAACGTTGCGAAAGCTTTTAAAGTTGTGGGAAAGCTTTTTGGGACAGTTGTTTTGTTTCCAAGTTTTTTTGGAGAGGGGTTTTGGGGGTCAAAAGCCCCCCCCCGCCACAAACCCCCCAGACCCTACCCAACCACAGCTTGTTGTTGGGGGGACTAAAATTTGGGTGCCCGTCCAGTGCCTTCTTAAAAAAAGCCCGGGTTTTTTTATTGGAAAACCCCCCCTTTTGTATGCTGGGAGGCAGTTGAATAGTCTTGGGCCATGGACACTTATTGATTATCTTTATAAGTCGCATATATTAATCTGTAGATAAAGCCAGAGCTGTTATCTCCCATATTCATATTTCCAGTGATGGCTAGAGTAATGGTACACGAGTATAACTAACTGATTCACAACAGCCAAAACAAATCTAGCTAGTTGTGTGCATTCTGTATCTGAGGACAGTTTGTGACGATACTATAAATTTTGGTTACTGTTTGCAAACTGCAATTTAGTTCTTGCTCGGTGTGTAACTTCACGTAGGTTCGTTGCTAATTCTTTTTGGCTTTAGTTTCTTTCCTGATTTAAAAGTACTGGGTGGAAGGAAGAGGGACAAGGGTGTCGTATTAAACCAGTGCTATTTTACTTGCTAAATTAACTTTTCCAGATTTCGGTGGAAGCTCCATAATTAAGCAAATTAAACCATGGAGTCAAGCCAAACCTCTATTTACCAAGAGCCTCTCGCCTCTGCAAGGTGTCAGAACGCCTCAAACTGTGGCTGCCTACCAGTCTGACCCATACATGACTTGCCACAAGAACCAGGCCTCTGTACACGAGGCATCACAGCCCACAGTTTTGTATGGAGGAGTCCAACCATCGGTAGAGAACAATATGCGGCAATCTTTGCCACATACGGTCCAACCATATATGCAGTACCAGTCTACGCAAGCATCTGTGCAGTATACTACTCTACCAACTGTTAAATACACTACGACCCAAGCATCTATGCCGTATAATGCTCACCCTGCTGTGCCATACACGGCACAGCCATTTGCACAGTATCAAGCCTCCCAAGAATATGTACAGTATACTCAACCATCTGTGCAGCTCAATATACTACCAACTGTCGTGTATCAGAGCCAGCCTCAGGTGTGTGTAGCTGTGCCACCACCGCAGACTCTGCTAGTAACCAACCATCAACCACCTCTCAAGGTAAGGTACACTGTTTTAGTTTCGGTAATGGAAGCTTTGGTGCCTCTCAAACTAATGGTTTGCACAAGCACTAGAAATGTTAGTATCATAGCGTAGGAAGTTCTTAGCTTCCCAAACGATTTCTTTTAGCTAATTTAAATCACCATAAGACTTTTGATCTCCAAGTTTAGAAACCATTTGTGCAACGACACTGGGTAGCTGGGAGAATTTTTTTACACCAGTGATGTTGCATTCCTAGAGTGGGTTATTTCCTTTTCGGAACTGTAACTGGGAAGGATGATCCCAATAATGAAACGGTAACCTTGGTAAAACTTTCTAGTAACTTTAACCTAAATTTTGATTTAGGTAATCAAATTTATTACGCGAAATGCCAATTTATTTTCTTGCATTCCTAAGGTAATATGAAAGAATTCACAATTAAATCCTTTTGAACTAGAGGAAGCGCGAAACTCATAAGGGTCGTATAACCCTAGGTAATGAGGACATTCCGGTTAATGCCTTCCCGGAAGTAAAGGTCGCCTCGGCAGCCTGAAGGCACCTTGAGATCAAATTTAGTGCTAAAAGTGTCTTACTTCACAGGTGTGTGGGGATAAACCCAGGACGGTGATGGTGGTCAAGCGAAAGAGACATCATCACCACCACCATTGTCATGGCTTTTAATGTTCCGTTGAAGTAGCCCCCCCCCCCCCACACACTATCCTGCCAAGACTTTTGTTTATCATTTGTCAAAGTATTTTAACTAATAAAAAAAATTGCTGAATAAAATTTTTAATACGGGCTTTCACGCCAGTCTATAGATATTCCATTTTTTAAATAAAAAGCAATAGTTTTCTGTTTTATATTTTAACACCAATTTCATTCGTTCTGAATAGTGTGCATACTACTGGTTGACTGGCTTGTTATTGCTGCCCTTCATGGGAGGGAAGGAGCAGGGAAAGGTGCATTGATGGTAATGGCTCTTGATTCAAGGAATTAAAGAACTTATCGGGGTCCCTACAAAAGCAAGATTCAACAGGCGGTGCAACATCCCCCTCCCCAGTGAAAAGCAGGGGTGTCATGAGTATAGACAGTGTCAGGGTCCCCAAGACTTTCAGCTGCCTCCCAGCATACATAAGGGAGATTAACAATAGAACCCTAGAGTCAAATTTAGATTCAGAATGGAATTAGGAAAGTACGGTTTTCAAAAAAATTATCGATGCGTTGAACAATCTTCAGAATACCTGGAGTTTACCTGGAGAGAGTTCCGGGGGTCCACGCCCCCGCGGCCCGGTCTGTGACCAGGCCTCCTGGTGGATCAGAGCCTGATCAAAAAGGCTGTTGCTGCTGGCTGCACGCAAACCAACGTACGAGCCACAGCCCGGCTGATCAGGAACTGACTTTAGGTGCTTGTCCAGTGCCAGCTTGAAGACTACCAGTGGTCTGTTGGTAATCCCCCTTATGTGTGCTGGGAGGCAGTTGAACAGTCTCGGGCCCCTGACACTTATTGTATGGTCTCTTAACGTGCTAGTGACACCCCTGCTTTTCATTGGGGGGATGGTGCATCGTCTGCCAAGTCTTTTGCTTTCGTAGTGAGTGATTTTCGTGTGCAAGTTCGGTACTAGTCCCTCTAGGATTTTCCAGGTGTATATAATCATGTATCTCTCCCTCCTGCGTTCCAGGGAATACAGGTTTAGGAACCTCAAGCGCTCCAATAATTGAGGTGTTTTATCTCCGTTATGCGCGCCGTGAAGGTTCTCTATACATTTTCTAGGTCGGCAATTTCACCTGCCTTGAAAGGTGCTGTTAGTGTGCAGCAATATTCCAGCCTAGATAGAACAAGTGACCTGAAGAGTGTCATCATGGGCTTGGCCTCCCTAGTTTTGAAGGTTCTCATTATCCATCCTGTCATTTTTCTAGCAGATGCGATTGATACAATGTTATGGTCCTTGAAGGTGAGATCCTCCGACATGATCACTCCCAGGTCTTTGACGTTGGTGTTTCGCTCTATTTTGTGGCCAGAATTTGTTTTGTACTCTGATGAAGATTTAATTTCCTCATGTTTACCATATCTGAGTAATAGAAATTTCTCATCGTTGAACTTCATATTGTTTTCTGCAGCCCACTGAAAGATTTGGTTGATGTCCGCCTGGAGCCTTGCAGTGTCTGCAATGGAAGACACTGTCATGCAGATTCGGGTGTCATCTGCAAAGGAACACACGGTGCTGTGGCTGACATCCTTGTCTATGTCGGATATGAGGATGAGGAACAAGATGGGAGCGATAGGGCAATAGAGGCTAAGATCTTGGGTAGCTTAAAAACAAGCAAATATATGAGCGAAGGGCTGGGTTTGATTAATAACTGAGGTTTTGAAGAGTTTTTTTTTTCTTTCCAAGTGGGTGGGAGGGAATGGTTGGTTTAGAGAAGGATCTGCCTAGTTCACGCCAGTGTTTCTCCATTCTTATGTTAAAGACCTTAGGTGGCTGGACAGCCACCTGAGAAAAATACCTGACCAACTGGGCTGTAGTTTGTACGTTGGTTTGCGTGCGCCCGGCAGTAACAGCCTGGTTGATCAGGCCCTAATACACCGTGAAGCCTGGTCACTGACCGGGCCGCGGGGGCGTTGACCCTCCGGAACACCCTCCAGGTGTAACCTGATTACCTATCCTTACTGGTTATAAACTTCTCTTTATACATATATGTTTTATATTATTGTGGCGGCACTTAAATGTGAGAGGTGCTACTTGGCTCTGAATTGGGGAAAGTCACTTTCTTGACTTGTTGATCCTGGCTTTTGAGATCACAAGTCTCTGTATTTACAAAGATATATTTCAGTCAGTGATGCTAGGTGAAGCTGGTGAAGCTCCTCAGTAGCTCTTAACTGTAAAAAAAAATGGTATTAAATGTCTGCTATTTAAAAGCAGCTCCTTGGAAGGTGGACACTGTAGAACCTGCTTCCTCCAAGTGGGGTGCCTTGATGTATAGATTTGATCTGAGGAATTTAAATTTCCTTGGTTGGAACTTGATTGCCTCCCAGACGCTGAAGGACAAGGGTTTGACTCTTCCCTATGAATGTAATATTGGGTAACAAATTTGCCGTCAAAATATATTTAGCAGAATAGTTTAGTTTATAGAGGGTTACTAGACGCTGCTAGGTAAAATGTGCGGGAAATAGGCGCTGGACAGGCATCTAGTCAGTACCTAACCAGCCGGGCTGTGGTTAATACGTCAGTTTGCATGTGACTAGTAGTAACAGCCTGGTTAATCAGACCCTGATCCACCACGAGGCCTGGTATCAGACCGGGCCGCAGGGGCGTTGAACCCCGAAACCCTTTCCAGGTATAGAACTGAAGGAATGGAGGCCGGTAACTGGAAGCTAGTTGTGTGAAACGCTATAATTTATGACCTCTTCAAGGGGGGCTCCTTGGCGTGGTGAAGAGGCTCTTGGTCTGAGGAATTAGACCTATCGGTCTTCTTCCTCAGACCGAACCTAATTACCCCCCAATCTCCCCTCCCCTATCCCATCCTCCCCATCCTCCCCATCCTCCCCTTTTTCCTTTCCTCCTCCTCCTCCCCACTCCTCCCTTTTGCCCTTCCTCTTTTTGTCCTTTGGGATTTCTCCCACAGGCACGCTAGTTCCTAGGTAGAGGAAAGGACACCGGGGTCGATCCCATTCCGTTGAGGTTTCTTGGCGGTGGCGTAGTTTGCCGTGGAATCTGGATTGCCTAGGGATGTCCCGATCCCTCTCCGGTATCCCGGAGTAGCTTTGGGTGTCTTTTGGGCGACGGGTGTATCTCTGGAAGCCACCTTTCGGATTCCGGGGGTGGTGGCTGAAGGAGGTATGCTTTGTGGCGGATATCCGGCCGCCCTCTCTTTTGTCCACCGAGGTAGCTCGGCAGATGTGAGGTTGCTATCCCAGATTGCTGGTTTACTGGCATGAAGGGTAGGGTATGGCACGGGTTCCATGCTGCACCCTGCGCTACTTAGCGGTGTCGAGTCCTCTTGGGCGCGGAGGGAGATTTCTGGCCCTTTCATTCCTCTAGGAACTATCCCTCCCGGTCCCCCTTTTTTTTTCTTTTTTTATTTTTATTTTCTTCTTTCTTTTTTTTTCTTAAAAACAAAAGAAAGAAGTAACCTAACCATGGCAGCCCTAGCCCATGAACCTGGTACCCCCGGGCCCCTTCTTGATACCGACCCCGTTCTGACCCCGCCTCGTCTTTGGACCACTCTTCAGACATTCCTCATGCCTCTGTACCTATTGCCGGTGCTGTTTCCTCACTGCTTCAGTACTGAGGCCTGACTGACTCCTTCGATTTATCAGCCTTCGCTCTCCTCTGACTATGCTTCCGGCCTCTCCCTCTACGGTGCGGCAATTTTCAAATCGCGACCCGTTCCACGTCGGACCAACTCTGGTCCCACGCCTAAACGTCAACGACAATTACTGCTGATGATACTTCTCCCCCTTCACCTTCTCGTTCTTCTCAGAAAAGATCGACACGTCCTTCACTACCTTTCCACGCTCAGTTTCAGACTGAACAGTGGACTAAATTCTTCACTTTACGACCAACTTCCTCTACTGCCTATCTTTCTGACCATAGTATTGGCAAGGCACTCCTAGCCATGTTGGTAAAGATATTTCTTTTCATGCTCTTAAGAGCGGTACGCGCATCATTACCGTACAGAATGCTCCCCAGGCTCGTGAGCTCTCTCGTTTTTCCCATATAATATGTTCCTGTCACCCTTGAAAAACATCATTCCCTCAATTCTTGTAGTGTACCGTTATTCTGCCCATACCATAGTTCAACAAAATTTCCAGACATGTGGCACCGACATTCTAGAACAGCTGGAACTCAAGATCTCCCATCCTAAAGGTAGACACTTACGTTCTTCCTGCCGTGGGCGGAGACGATACCCTAGCAATGTGGCTCGTTAACTTTTGACAGCCGAGAACTCCCATCCTCAGTTTATATAGCAGGACATCGGTTACAGTTCGAAAGGTGATCCCTACACCACAACAGTGTAGAAATTGCTGGCGATTTGGCCATCCAGCGAAATATTGCAGATCTATCGCGAATGCCCAGTCTGTGGTGCCGATGACCATTCTAATACGTCTTGCAATCGATCTCCCTCTTGCCTTAACTGTCATGAGGCTCACCCTTCGTACTCTCGCCGTTGTCAGGTCTATTTAAACGAGCGGGAAATCCGTTACCTCAAAGAGACAGAAGGTCTCCCTTATGCCATGCAGTTTTCTCACTCCGCCTCCAAGGGAGACCCCCACTGTGTTCTTATTCCGTGTTTCAAAACGTCCCCCCACTTCTGGTACCCCATCTTCTACACCCACCTCTGTGGTTACCTCTCCCATAATCACTCCTGTATCTAATCCTTTTGCTGTCCTCGGCTCAGACGTCCCTACTTCAAGCCTCAGTCTAATCTCGCTTCTTCGAGTTCTCTCTTACAACCCTCAGTATCGACGAGACCTCGTACGACACCTCTTCCCAATCGTCCCTCTACTTCTCAAAAGTCAAAAAAGGTCCGGTAACACCTCCTACCCATCTTCCACCTCCTCATTTTACCCTCCCTGTCTCGGGTCCTAGTTCTTCCCCTCTCACTGGCTCAGTTACAAGTGCAGAGGTTCACCCTCCTCCTCGTAATGTACCTTCCTCCCCTGTTCCCTCCCAAGTTTCTTCCTCTTCTGCCACCTCCCAGGTTCCTGTCTCTTCTGTCCCCTGCCACGCTTTTTCCAGTTCCCTCCACCCTTTCGCCCCCCCTCCCTTGGTACAGTCCAATACAGTTCCAATCTTTACTCATCCTCCCCCTACCATTCCCATATTGTTCCCATACGACATCTCTGAATTC